TTTCTGGACCTACACCTCTAGCAAGTGCCTCGGCCTATTCAGGCTTTGAGGACTCTGAGCAAATTCAAGGCAGACTTAAACTTGCTCACAGGAACACCTTTTGTTAGAATATCAGCAGGGTTTTGACTTGTATGGATTTTCTGTATATCCACTTCTCCATCTTCAATGATATCTCTCACAAAATGAAACTTCCGTGCCATATGCTTTGTCCTTTCGTGATAGGCATTGTTCTTAGACAAACATATTGCACTTTGTGAGTCACACCAAAGTTTAACTGCACCATGACTGAAACCGAAATCTTCTAACAAGCCTTTCAACCAAATAGACTCCTTTACAGCTTCTGTGATAGCTATAAACTCAGCTTCGGTAGTAGATAACGCCACCACAGGTTGAAGACTTGACTTCCAACTGATCACGTTTCCTCCCACTGTAAAGACATATCCAGAAGTTGATCGTTGCTTATCCAAATCACCTGCAAAGTCTGAATCACAGTAACCTTGTATCTCCAGTTCTTTTGCTTTTGTGTAAACTAACTGAAGATCCTGAGACCCCTTTATATATTTCAATAGCCACTGAACAGCTTCCCAATGTAGCTTCCCTGGTTTGCTCATAAAACGACTAACCAAACCAATACCGTGAGCCAAATCAGGCCTAGTTCCAACCATAGCATACATAATGCTACCCACTGCTGAACAATACGGAGTTGTCTCTGTATCAATGCATTCACTGACATCCCTTACCGCAGAAAGCTTGAAGTGTGCCCCAATAGGAGTTTGAGTACTTTTAGCTTCTGACATCCTAAATGTCTCAGTCACTTTCCTCAAGTAAGCCGACTGAGATAACTTGAGAATACCATTCTTCCTATCCCTTGTGATATCCATACCCAAAATACGTCCAGCAGCTCCCAAATCTTTCATCTCAAAAGTACTACTCAGCTTACCTTTAAGACTTTTAATGTCTGACATATTCTTTGCTGCAATGAGCATATCATCAACGTACAACAACAGGTAAACACAATCACCCTTAGATAGTTTCTTTGTGTAAACACACATGTCGTGTTCACTTCTCTTGAACTCTTGTAGCTTCATAAACTGATCAAACCTTTTGTTCCACTGACGTGGAGACTGCTTCAAACCGTACAAGGACTTCTTCAGCAAGCAAACTTGATGTTCCTTTCCTTTAACTTCGTATCCCTCAGGTTGATACATATACAGATCCTCTTCCAAGTTACCATGGAGAAATGCTGTCTTAACATCCATTTGTTCTAACTCAAGATCAAAATTCACCACTAGAGACAGAAGCATTCGGATAGATACATGCTTAACCACAGGTGCAAAAACTTCTTGATAGTCTATTCCCTCCTTTTGCGTAAATCCTCTAGCAACTAACCTCACCTTATATCTTTCTGGTTCAACTCCTTTTATACCCGGCTTGATCTTAAACAACCATCTACAGCTTATAATCTTCCTATTGACTGGTTTGTCAACAAGAACCCACGTCTCATTACGCATGAGTGAATCCATCTCATCATCTGCAGCTGCACTCCACTTCTTCCAATCTCTACTTGACTTTGCCTCTGAGAGATCATGTGGCTCTTCTATGTTTATAACTTCTGCAACATACAGAGCGAATGCAATCTCTTCTTCAGAACAGTCATAGTCATTGAATCTTATTGGAGGTGTTATTTGTCTTCTAGGCCTGTCTCTGGCCAACTGATAGTTAGATAAGCTAAGCCTTTCAGAGGCATCAAGTGTATCTGTAAGTTCAGCTTCTGTTTCGTCTTCTTCAAGATCAACCGTATTTTCTCCACCTTGAGCAGTATCTTCTGGACCAGAAGTTATCTTATCAGACACTTCCAAGAATTTGTCACTTGCAACCAATTCCGTATCATCATGATTCTCATTAATCACTACACTCTTCTCAAGAACATCCTTATACATCAGATCCTCCTGAAACCTTACATTCCTGCTTACTAGACACTGATCACTATCCATCATCCATACCTTGTAGCCTTTGGTTCCTATAGGGTAACCAATAAAGATACCTTTAGCTGCCCTAGGTTTGAGCTTTCCTTGGTTCACATACACAAACGCCACGCATCCAAATTTTCTCATATGTTTATATCTTGGTCTCTTGTTCAACCATACTTCCTCCGGGGTCTTAAAACCTATGCTTGATGATGGTGTTCTGTTTACAGTATATGCAGAAATTTCAGCAGCTTCAGCCCAAAATTTCTCTTTAAGTCCTGATTCATTCAGCAAACATCTGACCTTCTCCATTAGTGTCCGATTCATACGTTCTGCCACACCGTTTTGTTGAGGCGTGTACGTGCAGGTGCGGTGCCTAGTGATTCCTTGCTTCTTGCAAAACTCATTAAAGGCCTGGTTGCAGAACTCAAGGCCATTATCTGTCCGCAGATACTTCACCTTCTTGTCAACTTGATTTTCAACTAACTTCTTCCATTCACAGAAGTTTGAGAAAGTCTCATCTTTAGTCTTGAGAAAACGCAGCCATACTTTCCGTGAATGATCATCAATAAGGGACAAGAAGTACTGATTCCCTGACATGGATGGTTCAACATTTGGTGAACCCCACAAATCTGCATGTATGTATTCAAGAACACTGCTAGTCTCATGCTTCCCAGCTTCAAAACTCACACGCTTAGCTTTCCCGACTGCACAATGTTCACAGAAAACTTCTTTACCCACATCACTCTTCTTCAGATAACCATTCTTGACCAATACTTGCATATTCTTATAGCTCATGTGTCCCAATCTACCATGCCAGACCGGCACTTGTGACTTTGAGCCTTCGACGTGACATAACTCCCCTGTCACAGTTTCACCATCAAGAATATATAGTCCATTTCTTAACATGCCTTGGAGAGCAAGCTTCCCATTCTTATAAAACTTGATCTTACCATCTGCTCCAGAGTGGGTAAAACCAAGTTTATCCAGAGTTCCAGTTGAGATGAGGTTCCTTCTGAGTGTAGGAACATATCTCACATTCTTCATGAGCTTCACAGAACCTCCTCGTGTATTTACTCTGATCGTTCCAATGCCAAGTGTTTCAACAGTATGGTAATCACCCAAGAGAATCTTACTGGCACCTTTCTCAGAGAAATCCACAAACCAATCTCTACGGCAAGTCATATGATGAGTACAACCAGAGTCAATAACCCACTCTTCATTCGAGTTATCCACTGTGGCATTTAAGACATCACCCGATTTGAGTTTCTCAATGACCACTGCAGCTTCACCATCATTATCATTATCCATACTTCGCTTTCTTGCGAAACAATCCTTCTTCAAGTGACCTTCTTTCTTACAGAACCAGCACACTACCTTCCTGCCGTTAGACTTACTTCTAGGTCTGTTATTTCCACGCGTGTCTCTCCTGGAACCTCTCCCACGATCATCAGTGTATAGAATTGTGCTTGATCCCTTGTCTGATTTACTCAGCTCCTGGATTTCACGTTGTCTTGACCTTGCAGCAGAGCAGACTTCTTCTAAGGTTATTGATTCTTTCCCATACTTCAAAGTATGCTTGAGTTGATCATAACTCGTGGGAAGTGAATTCAAGAAAACAATTGCTTGAATCTCATCAGATACACTGACATTCAAGCTACCCATCTCTGCTACAATCTTGAGAAACTCATCTGAATTCACCTCAATCGTCTTTGAGCTATCACACTTGAATGTATAAAACTGTGATTGAACAAAGATTCGATTTGGTAGCGACTTTGACAAGTATAGCTTCTCAAGCAGTGACCACATAGACGCGGCTGTAGTGCAATGCTTGATCTTCCGCAATACCTGATTGCCAATATTCAAGATTATCATGTCTTTTGCTCGCTCATCCTTCTCCAGCTTTATCGGGTCCTGAGTCACTTTTGTTTGTGATTCACTAGATTCATCTTCATCGTCTTCAACATCCTTCTTCTCTACTTCTTTGGTTGAGGGAACCTTAACCTCAAAGTTATCACTAAGGACCACTTCTTTTAAACCATAAACCCCAAAGTGAGCCATCATGCGGATAGTCCATAACGAGAAATCACCATCCCCATTAAACCGCTGTACCTCTGAACGAAACGCTGCTTCAGATCTGAACGTTGACTCGGGTCGAGGTGTTGAGCTTGCCATTAGATCCTTCCCGGTGATCAAGATACAACCACCGCTCTGATACCAATTGTTACGCGGAAACAATGATCTCACAAACTCTCCCGAAGTGAATCTCTCGTTTGTGTAACAAGAAACTAAAGAACAAAGACACAGGTGTTTTGTTTACCCAGTGTTATCCCTGCGATGTGCAGAGATTAGTCACTGGAGCTAGAATCAATCCAGCAAATCCACTAGGTCAGAAACTCAAGTTCTCGGAAGAAAACCCGAGAAGCTCTCTCAATGAAGACGACAAATATATTTCTGTTGTTATCTCTAACAACCTCTGTTTATCCTTTTATAAACAAGGATGTACAGAACCGGGCTAAACCAAAACCTTAACTAACTCGGTTACTCCAAACCGGATAACATAACCGAATTAGCTAAGCCCTTCTTTTTCCCGCAGAGGCTTTCACTAAGTACGTATTGTTTGAGTATAAAGCTATCAATACTTAACAAAATACCTTTACAGCTCACAGATGTATAAACAACTAACAAACGAGAGCTCGACAAGTAAGCTCACTCCACCGATGCTCAGTTACTCATTCACTCCCAAACCTAAGTCAAACAGGTTCGGATATACGTCTGGACTCAGCCTTGGTAATACCTCAACCACAAGAAACTGGTCACCATCTCACTCTTAGTTGATTTCCTCGTCAAAACAATCAGAACTGACTTCCACATTCTGTCTTATTTCCACGTAAAAGATGTCTTCAAAAAACTATATTTCTCCTTTTTAAACTCAGTTCTTGAGTGAGAAAGTTTTGAGTTTCCTCTCACGTTACCTTCTATATCTTTTGCTAATACACACTATCTAAGTCGAGACATAATAAGTAAAGCAAGATGTCCGACATGACAAGTCTCACGCCATCACCTACACGATCTTCAAAACGCGCATTGTACTACGTGCAAAGTCCTTCACGCGACTCATACACGTCAGTTACACAGCCTAGCCCGATGGGCTCTCCCACACACGATTCTTCCTCCTTGGGCCGCCACTCTCGTAACTCATCAGCGAGTAGATTCTCCGGGATATCAAGATCTTCATCATCGGATAAAAAGAACATCAAGAAGTGCCGATCTAACGAGAAAGAATACGAGAGTATACTTGAAGAAGGTTCGTACGATGAAATGGAAGAAGACGTGACGTCTATGAAGAGGTGTCGAGCACTACTTGCCGTTTTCACTTTCGTAATTATCTTCACTGTCTGTTGCTTAATCACGTGGGGAGCTAGTAGACCATACAAGGCTAAAATCTCTGTTAAGGTACTAAAAATAATTGTTTTATTTCTCAAAAAGCTTATATTTACCCTATTTATATTGACCATTTTTTTTTTGTTTCTTTTGAAAATGTTTGGTTAGTGATGGTTGAATTAATGTGATGCAGACATTCGAACTACGCAACTTTTATGTTGGTGAAGGATCAGATTTCTCTGGAATGCATACCAAGTTGCTGACTTTAAATGGAACATTAAGAATTGGTATATACAATCCCGCACCAACATTTGGTATTTATGTTAGTTCCACACCAATCAATCTCTTCTTCTATCAACTCCCTATCGCCACCGGTCAGGTAATTATTTTGTTTGTAGTTAAGAACTTGTATGTGTTATTGTGTTTAATCACACACATAAAACTTGACCAAAATTTTAATATTGGGTCAATGGATCGGTCATTAGTTACAGTAGTACTATATATTCAGCAGGCCGGCTTATATAATATATGAACCTTTATGCTGTAAAGTTTTTTTCCAAAATTTTAGTTATACTGTTATAATTTTAAAATGATTTTTTTTTTGTTCGTAAAATTAAGATTAAAACTATATGTGTTTCTAACAAACTAGGACTCCATAAAATTGAAAAAAACACTGGTGTAAATTATTAACCACAAGCCCAAGACAAATGTCAACTAGCCCATTATAATGTTAAGTCCATATGTGTTAGGGTTTATAGAAGTAGATGTGTATAAATACGAATGTTAAAAAATCCTGTCTCTTAACCTTCGAGAGTTGCCGTTCAGAGCAACTCTTTTCTTCAGTCTCAATATTGTCTTATAATCATTTCTCTTGGTGATTCTTTATTATAGTTCTAAAATAAAGTTCTTCATGAGCTCTTTCAACCTTATATCTCTATTATGCTCATTTGAGCAAATATCTATCTTAGTTTTGTGATCTCCAGCATGGTATCAGAACCTGGTTAGCAAACTTTATCATGCTAACCTGGCTCTGATACCATGTGAGAAATCACAAAATAAGACTTATTCATAAGAGCTATCATCACACTAAATAGAAATAGTTATAGAAATCGCTCAAAGTTCTTCCTTTAAAAGTAAAGAACATTAATTTGCATTTGTCTTGATAAAAATGCACTATAAGCACATACTAAGAACTGGAACTGAACCTTTTTTTTTGTTAGATTACAAAAATATTTTAACCGAATGATATAAGATAAGGTTTTGGACCTATACTCTTTAATTCTGAGATAGTTGAGTCCTAAACATTTATGGTTTAATGTTAGATTGCAACTTTGGATATAATTAAAGGCTTTGGTATGAAAAATTTCTCATTAGCAGTTGGATGAACACTATCAACACAAGAAGAGTCTAAATACGGTTGCAGTGGTTATAGAAGGGAGAAGAATCCCATTATATGGTGCCGGAGCAAGCCTAGAGGCAACGGAGAGAGGCGGAAAGATTCCGGTAAATACGAGATTTGAAGTTCGAACAAGAGGAGATGTGGTCGGAAGATTGGTTAGCATATGGCATACAAAAAGAATCTCATGCTCATTTGTCATCGATGTCGCCGTTAATAGACGCGTATTGATCGATAAGAGTGATTGCAGCTATTCATGATCAATGTCATGCTCATTTGTTATCGAGTGATGTGTTAGATGTTAAAATAAATGTTATATGTGGTCAAATAAAAAGTCAATTTTTTTAAAAAAAACTATATCTTTATTTACTTTTGTAGTAACCATCTGAAGGCTTCTTGAAGATATTGCAAGAAAGTTCAAATTGAATGTAATTTTCCAATACAAAAGGCCAAAATGAGTTTAGTAAACCTTCTCTTATGTCTATGTTTCTGCTTATGTTTGTTTATATCAAATGAAAACCTCGCAATGTAGGAATTTTCTTCAGGACTTGTGCATGGAACTATGTCACCTTACTGAGTATCAAAACTACATTCTCTTCAATGTTATTGGTGGGGTAATAATAACATTCTGGCTAAGCTAAACAGTGTTTTTACAGATCTGTAGCAAAATGGAAGTGTAGTGACTGTGGTTGGCAGGACTTTTGATGAACTGGTCTTGAATAGCCGCGAGAATGTTCTTCTTGAGGTATTGTAAATGGGGACCAAAACTCGTGTTGATCTAAAATAAAGGATGTAACATTGATTTTTATCATGATGGAAACAGGTGGTGCACACAGCATGGTGGACTCTTAACTGTGAGGCTATGAGCAAACAGATTGAGAAGTTGTCCAAACACTTCAAAGGGTTTGAGAAACTTGTCTTTGCGAGGATAGACGCTTCTGCAAACGAGCATCGTAAGCTAAAGGTAATAAAACAAATCTCAAAAATGTGATTATTACTTGAGATATATAATATATGATCATGATGGTATATTATGTGTTAGTTGATGCAGGAGGGTGATTATGATTATCTAACAATCTTGCTTTACAAAACCGGTGAAAAGGAAAATCCGGTGAGATCGGGTTCACATCTTATTTGTTTCTTCATTTCCACTCACACTGTTGCGTTGTGCGTTATAGAGAAGAGTTGAAGTGGAAGGATAGGTCTGCTAAAGATGAGTTATAGATCTGGAATCTGGTTTAAGGATCAAATTTATCTCTGTTTTTTTTTTTAATACCATAAGAAGTATGAAAGATACAGTTGCAGAAAGAATAAAAGGTTGATTATGCAAACTGTTACACAAGACAATGCCAAAGAAACAAAAACTCTCTTATATTAACGTCGGTTGGCATTGACAAGCCGAGTTAAGTTAAAAACGTTTAATAAGACAAACTTGTCAATTTCTAATCCCATCGGAATATTCGGTGAGATCAAAGCTTGTTTAATTAGTTTGGGTGTTATAGAGAAAGGTACGTGCTGGGAAACATGAGTTCAGAGTAATGGGTTCATAGCTGAGCCCAAGACTGCTCCAGCACTTATATGAAACTAATCATCAAAGGAAAGACTTGGGAGGTTGTAAAAAATGCAAAATGAAGGATGATCCAGGTTCAAAACATTTAAACAAAAACATAGATTGTATTCAGGAAATAGCAAAATCTCAAACTAGATAGAGCGAAGAAAAGTGCTAAGCTTCTTTAAGTCCCTCCTGCGTTCAAAATGGGTTTCTTTTAGGTTGATGAAGCAGCTGCCCCCTTGTTTCTTGGTTTAGCTTCAGTACCTAATGGTAACAAACAAAATGTTCCATCATTAGTAACCCCAATTTTTGACTTTAAAAAAAAATAATTAACATTTAAAAATCAAATGGTATTATTACCTTCTCTGAAACCAGTCTTGAAACGGCGGGGAACATTTTTGAGATATCTCATCCTACCGGTTCCGGTAGTCTTCCTTCTGATTGCCTTCACACTCCAGTTATCTATTACAACACAAAAAGAAGAGACAATTAGAGCTGATAAAGACACATATCCAAACATTTCTCTAAACGGTTATTACAATTATACGAAAAATCATGTGAACTAGGTACAACCAAGAACATGTAATCATATGCGATTATTACAACTAAACGACAAGTCAATCTAGTTCTACTAGACTCATAAGAGAACAAGAGTATGTTTAATTGCAATACTCGTCAAACGTAAACAAATCCTAACCTCAATGGAACTCATGTGACTGACTAAAGCAAACACTAAACAATAAGAACCCAAAGCTAATCCACAATCAATAAACCAAATATAAATCGGGGAAAAAAATGAAACAGTGAGATTTAAAAAAATAAATAAAGAAGAAACTAACAGGTCCTCTTGCGAGCGGCGGGGTAAGCGCAAGCAGAGCAGCGACTCTTCTGGATGTGGAAGCTACGACGGCCACATCTCACACATAGTGTGTGACTCTTGTTCCTCCTCTTACCAAAACTTCCTGTTCCCTTTGTCTGCAATACTCAACCAAAACAAACAACATAAGATAATGGTTACCGACCAGTAAATACAAGAGAGAACGGGTGGAATAGGAAGATCACCATTGTAGAGAGACCAAAAACCTAAGGATGATGATTCTTCGGCTTCAGAGGAGGAAGAAGAAACGGAACTTATATGACGGCCAACTTATATGAAGGTGTGACTCTCTCCTTACTCTAGGGTTCAAGTGATATCATGGGCCTTTGTGCTTGTGTAAATGGGCTTTTTATTTTATTTTAGCGGAAATGGGTTTTAATTTCTTTTTTTTAACGGAAACGGGGGCCTTATTCCAATCCTAATCTCTTTAGCCCATTATCAGATTCTCTTTTTTGCAAAGTGTTCTTGTAGAGAAATATCTAAGATCACAGTCATTCATAAGTCAAATCATGTGGTTGAGGATCTGTCACTGACGGGTTATTCTCATGGTTGAAGATGAAAAAATGCGACAAATGAAGTTGAGTTTAGGGTTGGATTCCATATATCGATTTCAGCTTTTTGCAAGCAACAGCATTCAAAACCTATGCTGAGTTATATAAAGACTTTGCTGCATGTGAGGAATGCATTGTCACTACATTTTAGTTAATTGGTTGCTTATTATGGCTGAATTTTGTGTTAGCTGAATAAGTAACGAACAAGCTTAAACGTCTGCCATGTCTAGACACAATGAAAAGGTTACGGAACCGGCCTTGAAATCTTGAAATCAGGAGACTATAGAGGATTTATAAAAAAATTTAACTAAATATTTTTTTTATAAATTTGGAGGCTAATTTTTTTTTTTTTAGGGATCTTTTATCAATGTAATTTTTTTTTCAAAAGTTTTAGGCATCTAAGGCCTATGTTTCATTAGGCTTGGCTCATAGTCAAAGCAAGCAAGTAAAAGCGAGGATGATCCACATCCAGTAGATACAATATCATTTGCACAACCTTTGTGAATGTCTCTTACAATTTATGGAATTTCCAAACTTGATGTTAAATCATTGTCCTTTACAGTTTCAATGTATTAGCAAATAAGCCTACTTGCATGATTACCAAAAACAAAAAAAAAGCCTATTTGCATCGAAACTTATGTTGCTAATTAAGAAGTTTAAAAGTAGTTGCCCCAAAATCATGGATTAACGTTGGTATGTAGGTCCAAAGACAGAATAAGAACCGCTTTACCTTTGCATCTTGAGGAATCCTATAACCATGCTTTAGACAACAGTTAGTCAAACAATAATAGTACGTAGTACTTCAAAGACAAAACATATATATATACTTCTTTGCTTTTTTCATTGAAATCGTACCAAATAATTGATATTTAACCAATATAAAGTTATATCATCCTACTATAATGAAATGAATAAAGTACATGCAGAATTTGAAATCGTGCATCCATCACTATCTATTCTATTAAAATAGAGTCACTCTTTTTTATCTACTGATACAAATTGTCATTTAAATTTGAACCTTTTTAAAAATGTTACAAATAATATAAGTCACATAATTGATTGAATCGTATCTACTATATTAAAATGTAGTCATTTTTTATCTACTGATATAAGTTGTCATTTAAATTTGGACCCATTCTAGAGTGTTACAAATAATACAAATCATATAGTTGATTGAACCGCATTACTTAATTTAAACCGGCAGTTATAGAATAGAGTTTTGGGCTTACTTTTGTTTTTATGACAAATTATATAGTTTGGGTTTGGGGCTTAGTATTAAAGAAAAACTCCAAAAAAATATTGAATAAATGTTCTACCTTAATGGATCAAAAAATCAATTACTATTTTAAGGCCCAAAAGTATTGAATATTTTAACAAAACAAAATTATGTATTATTAATCACTTATTTAAATCATGTACTTTAAAACATGTTAATATTTTCTTATTTTAAATAACAATCACTCTGTCTTGATAAATTTCAATGGTAACTTTTATAATATTTTTTTTCTTAAATAATTTACTAATTTTAAAATAATAAATGTAAAGCAAAACTAAAAACCAATTCTAAAATTAAAATCCAAAACCAAAAGCTGAAAACGCATGTTATATTTTTGCTTTTGTTTTGTTTATTTACAAAATAAAGTATTGCAATTTTTTAAAATTAAAAATTTTCATCTTTTCAGTTTTAAATTAGATGTTTGATTCTTTGGGATTTGTTTTTTTTGGTAATTATAAGTTCAAACTAACTCAGCAAATCTAAAAGCTAAAATCCCAAACCAAAAGCTGAAAATCAAAACTAGAAACTTAAAAATTAAAAACCAAAAACCAAATCTAAAAATAAAAACTAAAACTAAAAACTAATGCAAAGCAATCATCACCACAAATTTTGGATTACCGATTTTCTACCACAACATACTTTAAATAAAGACAAAACCTAATTATATAAACTTTTAATCAAAAAAAATTTCCGCGCTTTCAAGCGCGGGTCAAAATCTAGTTAACCTTAATTTTAAGATCTTCAAATCATCAAAAAAAAGACATAAACACGGAAAAAGTGAAAGGTGACATTACCGAACAGAGACAAATTTTCACTTTAGCCTTTTTGATGTTGAGTAATAGACACTAAAGATACAATGGCAAATACTATGAAACGAAAGTAACCACCACATATAATATATAGTTTCTATATGTGAGAGAACATAGATCTCCTGACAAGAACATATCACAGTGGAGAGAAATGTTTCAGAAAACAAACAGTTTCTTCCACAGAACACTACACAGTTTCAAGTCGATGATTCACAGAGCAGGTAAGAAACTCTCTAGACCAAAAACTCGCTTCTCATGCACATTTTGTAGATCAAATTCTCTCGATGGCAGTGACGATTACTATGCAAATTTCCTCAACATTTGGGAGTCTGATCTCGGAAACAGCATTGGAGGAGGAGCTCCATTAAAACTGGAGCAAAAGACTCAAGAGCATGAACAAGATCACCAAGAGAAGAAAATAGAAGCGTGCTGTTCGCGTTCATTAAGAGACTGTGATATAATGGAGAAGAAGATTAAGGAGATGTATGTGGTTGAGACAGGAGATATAGAGCAAGCCCTTGATGTTGAAGAGGCACTTCATTACTATTCTCGTCTTCGAAGTCCTGTGTATCTCAACATTGTTGACAAGTTCTTAAATGATCTCTACGCCTGAGATAAACACTCTCGAGCTATTATAATTTGTGTTTTTAAGATTCTTGATTTGTTTTGGTTTACTACAATCTTTCTTCTTGTATGTTTGAATCATGCTTGTGAACCAATATCATTTGACTGTGAACTTTTTTAAAGCTCTCTTCTGGCAAAAGATCTAGAACCTGTTTTGTTAAACGATGCACATACTGCATGAGGCTTTCAATAGTTAGAGTTATAACTTCCCATAGCTCGATCTGCAAAATTTTCAACTGGACTAGAATAGGGAACATAATATTGTAAACAGTAGAAGGCAAGCTCATTAATAGAACAATAGTAGATATTATTACATAGGTATTTCATCTTCTGCAACAAATCCAGTACAAGAATCTGATAGGATGCAAAGAACAGAATGCATAATCTTTTACATATCAGAAACTCTGTGCTCATCCATAACTCTTCCCTGTAAAGCTCTCAGAAGGCGGTAAATAGATAAACCTCTGATCTCTAGTCCAAGCCAGTATGAGGCCACAAGTGCAAAACCCAAGATGAGGTCGATGAAAGGGCCATTATTTACTTGAAGAGGAGGGTCAGTAGCCAGTGGTAGATACCAATACATTGTGCTCCCTTAGGCGTTTCTGGAAATGAGCAAGACGGTTCTGCAGCTGGAGTATACCTGCAGCCTTCTGAGAGAGGATTGTGTTCAGTCTTGAAATGTAACCATCTAGCTGGTTTCCGGGCTGGTCTGCTTCAACCAGCAAATTCATCTCCTACGCATGTGATTTAAACAGGATAGAGGCATCAAATCAAAACCAGGCTTGGGAAAAACTGGAAAAAAAAAATCACACCTCCTTCACGATGTTCATGGTATCCTCAACTTGTTTACGGTGAGCATTCACAAGGTCTTCTTCTTCCTGTTTAAAAAAATGCATGAGATTTGAATTCTTGCGTTAAGGCTGATCAAGACGGATGACCTTTTCTCTCTTTTCTGAAGGAGAATGCGTTTAGCTGAATGTTACCTGCAGAAGTGCATTTAGATTGTCATCGGAGTTTGACTTCTTCATGTCGGGCCTTGGCATGTCTCTAGTCTTCATGGGGATACTAGGTTTCGGGATTCTATCCTGTGCCATACTGTTATAGGACGGCTCTGGCTTCACGTTTTTCTTCCACATTTGTTTCTCTTGCTCGTAGTCCGATGCATCAAAGTCATCGTTGTCTTCAGTCCACATCTCATTCACGTCATCATCATAGTTAGATGGAGCAGGGAGTGCGGAAGACAAAGGAATTTTTGTGGACTCCCTTAGGTTCATGGTTGAAGACGATACATCTTTCTTAGAGCCATTTCCCTTCGAGAGACTCTTAACCCTACAATTCTCATAGTTCACAGAAACAGTTTATGGGATGCGGATATGAACAAAAGAGAGAGAGAGAGAGAGAGATATTACAGCGAGCGAGTAAAACCGACCTGTCCGCGTATCTTAAGGTGTTAAGGGTGTGCTCGCATGATCCAGAGCTTGGAGATATGCAAGATATCATTACAGTTCGAGAATTTCCCATGAAGGAGTCTCTGAGAACTTCAGTCAACTTACTGCCTCTAAAAGGGATATGACCTTGATCATTATCCAGAGCTCTAATACACTCCTTCAAGGCGAGTAAGCTCTTATTGATTTCTGCTCCTTCCAGTCTGTATTATATGATAATACCAATAAATATCGAAGCAACTAGCCAGAAACGATATTCACAGTAACAATTTAAAGAGTAATCAGGGCCCAGAATATAGATGTTACCGAGTCTGTTTGTCATTGTCTGTTGTGTCTGCACCACGTTCACTTCCAGCAAGATCGATGAAAGAAAGTTTCCCAACAAGGCGAGGGGGCTTTGACTGATTTCCCTCTGCAGATTTTTTAATAGCGAGCTGAAGTATAGCATGTGAACGGGAGGATTCTTCATTTGCACCAGTGGTTCCAGTACTTCTTGTTGCACTTCCTCTCTCGATAAGCTCCATTATCG